CCATTGTCTCCCGAACAGTTGCGTTTTCTTTCCTTCTTTGACATGGGAGGTGCTGCATTTGGACTTGAGTGCCAGGGCTGTACGCACATCTTAGAACATTGCTAAACTTCTGGTCACTTATAAGTTTTGTCATCAGTGAAATTACTAGATGTAGGTTGTCTTTAAAGAGCCGAGATATATAGCACCACTCTGGTTAAGGCAGTATGAAGAAGTAGCCAGTTAAAAGTGAGACCCTGACTTCCTTCCATTAGTTTCCGTGCTTTCTTTAGAAATTAATTTTTCTTAGCCACGTTGATGAAGCAGTTTATTTCTTATCTTTAGCTTTTTTCTGCAGGTTTAGGGGGAGAGCTTATCTGTTGGGCTTTGTGGACATAGCACTGTCTAAGTTTTTGTTATCACTTGCTCATTGGAGGAGGGGGGCAGATAGACATGCCCTTTAGATCTTTGTCTTCCACAGCACTGTCTTGATACAGACATATGCAGTTCTACGGAAGACAAAACAGTGCTTTGAACACTGAAAAACATATGAGGAAATGGGTAACATTTTACAGCTGAACCAGCATGTGATATATGTTGTTCGAATTCTAATACAAATCCCCAAAATTAAATTTTTCAATTTTTTTTTTCCTGAGGGAAGAGAAACAATGCAAGCTGAAATTTTTTTTAGAAAGTCTTTTAAATATCTTTTCTAACTAATGAGTTTCTATGAGTATTGTTAATACTTAACAAATATCTTCTGTGTTCCTCTTGTAGTATTTAATATTGTATATTCTTTAGTGGTTTATGATTCTACTTGTGTACATAACATATAGATTCTTAAGTCAGTCTAGCATGAGAGGTTTTGCTGTACTTAGCAGAATTGGATGATATGGGAAATGTCACTCAGACACAGGAGAGTCTGGGTGATATAACCACAGTAAGTCACAGTCATATCATCAGAGACTGTTTGACACAGTTTACTTTGTAAAAGGATGCCAACCTGTTGATTGTTCATATGCTTCTGTCGATAAAAGAAAACTTAATAACACACAAAAAGCTGTGTTATCTGTGGTTTATGTGGTTTGTTTTGATTCCTTAGGTGCAGCTATCTTCTTTGAATTCAAACACTACAAGCCTACGAAAAGGTTTACCAGCACCAAGTGTTTTGCTTTCATGGAGATGGATGAAATTAAACCTGGGTCAATTGTGATAGAACTGTAAGTGATGTGCACACAGAATTAGTACTAATTTAATGGTGACCAGTGTATCTTTCTTCTTAGTCCACCTTATCCAGTATGTAACCTTGGAATAGGTCGGTCATCAAAGTATTCAAAACAGTGGTCTTTCTGTTGTGGTTTCAAGTACAAGAAACCCACCGACTTTAAAAGAAAGAAATTGCAGTTACTGACCAAGAAACCACTCTATCTTCATCTACATCAAACATTGCACCAGGAGTGATCCTCACATTAATGACCTGGAGCTTCTGTGAATTTGACCACTCAGTAGAGACCGTCTTAGCTCTGTGTAGCACATTCACACTTCAGCAGGCAGGAAGCAAGCCACACCCATGCCAGTAGGCCAGAGTCCGCTGCAAAGCTGTACCACAGAATTCGAAGTTCAGCACATCACTGACGTCTAAGACTCCTTCGGATACAGGTTTATTGTAGATTTTGAAACATGTTTTTACTTTTCTATTAATTGTGCAATTAATAGTCTATTGTTTGATTTACCACTACTCCTATCCTGCTCCCTAGAACAATACTGTTGTGGGTAGGATGTGCTCGTCTTCAAACTTAATACAGCAATAAGAATGTGCTAGAGTTTACTCATCTGTTCATCTTTGTTCCAATATGCTCTTTTGATTTGAGTTAACGTCAAAGTGTGGTGGGTAGTATATCAAACTGTTTTGAGAGGAATTGGACCAGTTATGATGCCTAGGAAGG